ACAGATCCCTGATGAAAAACCTTAAGAAGCACAACGTTCTGTCACCGATTCGATTTGGATTCCAACAGAAGCGAGCCTGCACCATTAATTTCCTCAGCACATGAGAAGAATGTACAAGAGCAGCTGATGACGGCGACACGTTATACGTTATTTATATACACTTCTCCAAAGCGTTAGGTAGGGTGAACTGCGACATTCTACTGCGGGAACTCTATAACTACGGTGTTCGGGAACTCATGATTGATTAGATCGAAGCATTTCTCCGAAATCGGATAGAATCAGTTCGTGTTTCTGATTCGCTTTCCGGTCCTATGGAGGTTACCCGTGGGGTTCCACAAGAGCCCGCGACTTTTCCTAACACTCATAAACGACCTGCCGAAGGTTCTGGGGCCAAAATCATTACCGTTTGCGGATGACACCAATATTTGGAATACAGTAACGCAACCAGGCGCCTCGTTGATACTCCAGGGAATGCTGAAAGCAGCTCGTTTCTGGTCTCTTTTGAACATTGAATTCAATGAGCCAAAGTGTAAGGTTCGATCTCCATGACACAAGGGGTAATTTTCCTATATCCTCGGAAATGAACAACTGCCACAAGCCGCAAGTGAGAAACACCTGGGCATCATCATTCAAGAAAACTTAAGCTGCTCACTCAACTGTGCCAAGGTGTAAAGCTGCAAAGAATGTCGGTTTGCTTAAGCGGGTCTTTGGACGGTTTGAGTCAACGCTTTCCCCTGTCTGCTATCAGTATACATTGGCCCACACACAGAGTATGCTATCCAGGCACATGATTGCAAAATGCTGGAGCGTCCACAAAGAATGGCCACCAAAATGGTTAGGGGATTGAATCGTTATTCATACGCAGAGACACTGAAGTCGTTGGGGTTGTATTTCAATCAGAAGAGATATGATTATGGTATACCACATAATGCAAAACCCAAGCCATCCGTACCGCCCGCTGCTGAAATCATCACCCAACGTTCATCTTAGAGGACATCCATTCAAACTAGTGGTCTCAAAATGCCGATTGCAATCCCGGCGTCAGTCATCCGTAGTCAGTGTGTTCGATCTGGACCTCTTTCCCACCCCAAGTCGTCTGTGTGCGCCAAGCAGTGAATCTATCAAACTGAGACTCGATGAAACATTGGCACACCTTACATTCCAACATAAGTGAAGCTGCGTGCAGCAGTGGAAGAACCCGTATCACGTGACATTTTACACAAGGAATTGTATGTATCACAATTTTTTAACCACTACACGAACCTATGGGATGAGAAAAGCATGAGCTTGTAAGTTATTTCCAGAACAAATCTTTGAACTATGACGAATAATTCGAAATTTTCTTGCACACTATAAATGACCCTAGTTGAGGGAAGTGAGGAGGAGAACTGAATGTGATCGAGATTCTGACGAATGTTTTACGAATTCATGATTGCATGTGAGATTTGACCAAACAATCTGTAGGACAAAAAAGTTGACATTTCAGTTACAATTTTGTGCGATCAGCACGTGATCTGTCATTTCCAAGCGAAGTGAACATGACGGATGAGAATAAGCAAAACAGCAAACAAATCATTGCAATGCGGACCATGTCAGAGACAATATACCTTGGATAATGTTCAAAATAGACGCATAGCAATGATTGATCCCGCGCTGAACCGGGGTAGAGACCATCATGTTTTTCGGTTGTAACAGACGACGCATCACATCGAACACGGTTGTCCGTCGCACAGTGGACACTTCCGTGTCCGTGCTCAGCGGTGTGTACCCGGTCATGAGGAAATGCAATCGCGGGGTGGGAGTGAGCGGGGCGATCAGACCAATCAGATCGTTGTTCATGTAGCTCGGATAGCGCAATGTGGCCGTGCTCACCGACATGACTTTGGATACCTGTTGCATAGAGGTACCGGACCGCGACAATAAGGGATAAGTGGACAGTCGCAGTCAAGTGGTTAAAAGAAAACAGGATGACCACGATGGGCCGTAAAAAACGTGTGTAACAACTATGTATGCTATTCAGTCAGCAATTGGAAGTTATCGGAATCGCATAGAACATAGGTAGATTTTGTGGATTTTCGAATTCACATACGAACGATTGTGGATTTCCAAAATCTGGACAGATGGATCAAGTTGGATGGCCTGCAGCAAACAGAACACGCATCACTTGAAAGCGAACCCAACGCATGAGGAACAGTCATTGGTGAGGTTGGTCCCATAACCACCAAAGTATCCCGTATGTGTAATCAATGCAATTTCTTAAATAAATAAGACGTTCAGATGCACTGTTGTATGCAAGCAAGTAAGTTAAACTGAAGTTCAATTTGCACACCACGAGATCTGGTGCTATCGGAATGCGTGGAATGCAGTTCTGCAAAGGAAGTCATGGGAGATGAATATAGTGTCCTCGTTTGTCACAATTTACACATGACCTGTTTTGGCACAACAGCACACACACACACACACATTAAAGACAAAGAAAACACAAAGGGGGGATGAGCGGGGGTGTAAAACGGAGGAGTGTCGAGAAAGGAGATCGTTGCGAGAGATAGCGGGGATCAGNCAGGCTAATCGATGGCCAATTAAAAAAATAAAAACAAGTGCGACAACTGAGTGCCACAAACAATACTGTTTGAGCATCTCTCTCTGTGACCCTATTTTTCTCTATAGTTGCATTCATAACTACTCTTTTAAGCATACGAATTCGTCCGCTGATTTGGTGGATGGCTTGCTGGAATACAACCGCCAAAACAACTGGGATGGGAGGATTCGATGTTTGGTGATAAGGAAAACAATGCACTGGGTCGTGGAACTTGAAGCAGTACATAAAAGATGGGGCTCGGTAAACCGGAGGTTCATTAAATTTGGGGGGCGGCCATGAACGTCGAACCTTATTGCTCGAAGCACAACGCTACTGATTGGTAACTCAAGGTGTAGACAAACCTCCGAAAAAAAACAGGGATCGCGGATATCGAGTCTAAGTGATTCGTCTAGGACAAGCGAAAGCTATTCACAAGGTGCTGATACAGAAATCAATTAGACAAAAAGTCCATCACGGACGGAAGATCAAATTTGCTGTGGGTTGTTCACGGAACTGTCGGGGCGGATGCCAAAGTCATCACGTGGGTGCACACCCACAAGGTCATGAGAAAATGAAACGGAAAACCTGGGTCAGGGAGTAGAAAATATCATTACTTCAAAGGTGAATTTTTCGTGTATATAGCAAATGAAGTGTGAACTGAAAAGCCAGGAAACACTGTTGGACAGCTGTTTCGATCTGGCCCACAACAAGTGTGCAAATATGGATATCGTGTGAATGGGAAATGAAAAAGGATCTGATCAGCTTCCCGGTGACCGAGTGGGTATGACGCTTGCGATCTGTCTGTGAGATTCCGGGTTCGCGATCCCCAGTTGGGTCGATGGATTCGCACAGCACTGATGAGACGCAACCAGGACGAAACAGCTGTCCAGCAGTGGTTCCTACCTTTTCAGCTCACGGTTCATTTGTTCTATATACACCACGAATTCACCTTTAAAATTGAACCAAATCCTCAATTACTCACTTGAAATATCACTAATTCCGATTCTGTTCAGACATCAATACGTCACAGAGGAGAGTTTTAGTATTGAATGACACTACGGTAAGAAAATCAGGGCGTCAAGAGCATGTATACGGAGAAAAATTATACCGACAACTGATTGAATGAAAATAAATGATTCGGAATCAAGATAAAAAGCTTACCAATTGATTAATCTGAGCCAATGAAGGGGTTTCAATGTGGAGTCTTTCGGCAGCAATCCGATGCAAGGCCGTGTTATCCAAAACAACCTGTAACGAGGAGCAGAGCAAAAGATGGATTATGCACAATACCAGTCAAACGGTGAGCTGCGGCGACAGAAATTTATCATTTCCTTATCGTGGCTATATATGTGGATGGGGACAGAGGAACAAAAGAAGATCATTTTCAAATCAAGTCAAGTATTTGCTTTATGCACCTCGAAAGGTGAATGAATATTCATGCAGCAGCCACATAGTCAACCAACAATGATTGAGCAAAATGACAGCAGAATTGTGGTGGACAAGGACAAAACAGAGAAATTTTTGATCGCATGAGTTCAGTTCAGTTCAGAAAAGCGATGCGTTCTAAGTTGCAGAACAAATCGAGCAAAGATAAGGTACCACAGAAGACCGACAGACGGTCGTACAGGCAAATATATACTTATAGTGGAACCGGGTGGAAGAAGAGGACACACACTTGACAAGATCTNCAACGAAAAGCACGACTTTGTGGGTTTTGTGAATTGATGAAGTGACAGAAAGTTTCATGGGATATCCCACTACTGCTTGGTAAATGTGCTAAGGATCTTGAAAGCAATTTAAAGTCATTCTTGAGCATCCCTAGGAAGATTACAGGGGGGGAGGGGCGCGTACAGCTATGGGAGGCAAAGTATAAGCAAAAAGAAAACGCCTAATCAAGAAGCGAGAAATGGATAATGCTTTCAGGCGTAGGACCTTTTCAAATACAGAAATAACTTGATCAGATCCGTATACATTTCGGCTGATTAACACACCAAGATGCCTGACATTTAGGGGTTGACTAATGGTATCATCGCATATGTTTAACATGGGAAAGGATTCCAAGAGATTTGTATAACAACTCCCTCTGTGAAGTGAGAACAGCATGTCCGTGCATTTTAGACGGATTAAAGGTTACATTATGTCCAGTGAACCACTCAGCAAGCAATTAAAAAAACAAACATGGACACCTCGCATAGCATATCGTGACAAACACGATTGCGAGAATCTCAACAAAGGGATATTTTTAGACAACGGAGGGAGGGATCAACTGTTTTAAACACAACTAAAACAGTCCGTGTAACAGACCGACACAAACCTAGTAAGAAAGTGTAAGGGATAATGAATAAGGGAGGGAACCAATCATCAATACTATAGTGTTAACAATGGCCCGGGGATGGGGAATGCGACAGCTCGACAGATACGGTTTGGGCGATGCGATCACATTGTGTTCTGTATTAACTGTACGGAAGATGAGTAATTGCGTTTTCCACATGAGTACCTGAGAGTTCTTCGGGCATCCCGAATGCATTGAAGTACGAATTCAATGCTGAGAACACAGACCGGGAACATTTTTTGTACGACGCGCAACGTGGTGTCTACGTACTATCTGAAAACTGCATCTATTCCGTGACAGCCCGTCCCCTACCTCAAAAACAACCCAACGCGGGCGAGTGATCCAATTCTACAGTCAATAAAAAGGGAGTTTACACCTTTTCCCTTTCCTGTAAATACGCATGCTTCCGGAGCCCGCTGCGGGAGTGAAAAATGGTGGAGAGATGTCATCAGAAGAAGAAGACTAATTAGGAATTTCGTAGAGAGATGATCGATGCGGTAATAAAAGCTCACTGAAGCTGTTCATGTGATACAACCAGAAAAGAGTTTTGGATGGTGTGTGTTTCTGTGACAGTGCGTTGGTTATCAGTCCACATTTTCAGATGATCCATCAATTTTATTCAACCACTGGACATAAATGGCGCCGTATTTTGTGGCCTGATGATGATGATGGATCGATTTCCAGTTTGATATGTATCTAGTGATTTTTGAAGTATGATTAGGTCCTCGTCTGTGTTGCTATCAAAGTCGCCCTGGAGTACAGAATGCGCTACGACGGATGCTGGTTGTGTAATATAATGCGGGTGTTTTTCGACCAGAGGAACTTGACATTTTAAACCGACATTCAGTTTACCACACCTCGCGGTTCAACAAAGGCTATCGACGACTACACAGTTCCTGAACGGAATTGGTGTTCTCTGCGGGCGTGCAGCGATCGGAGGTCTTCAAGGAAATGTAGAGAGAATAGATGGGTTCAGCAAGACTAGTCAATCCCAAACTCTAGCGAATCAATTCGGGGATTGGAAATTGGCCAGTCAAAAGCATCCCGTTGGATTGGCGTAAGAACATGGTACTTGAAGCTTTCTTTATTTCAAAGGAGAAGTCTTCATTCTTTATTGGACAGCTTCCACCGGCCCAAGCTAGGCAAACTCCAGTCAACAAGGAAAGTGTCCTTATTAAGTTCCACGTGTCCCATGAGGTGCATTTGATCAAGCGTCAATCCCGAACAGTTAATCGGAAACACGTTCAGTTCAGTTCAGCTTTTACAACCATTAACCATGCACTTTTGTGCGCCGGTTTTGGTTGCCCATTTGGATAAAAGAACAAAATGTAGATTGGAATGTCGAAGTAAATTCAAGCGGAAGGTGGGGAATTCATATAGAGTGGTGTTAGGAGAATAAGGAGTGGATGCACGAGCGCCACTGTTTGCGACACCTAGCCATATCACCCAGTGTAGCTAACCATCGGTGACTATCATCCCGAAGTCCCTAGCCAGGGAGCCTAACGGGGCCTATGTGACCTAGTCTCTTGGTTAGGGTTTTCATACCTTCGTGCCAGGTCTTAGCTTGACCACCCTTTACTATTTTCCAATCGCTACCTGCCTCGGAGAACATTGCTCGCCGTGTTACCCTATCTGGGGACATACGTAACATATGTCCCAACCAGCGTAACCTATGGAGGTCGATCACTTGCTCCAGTGGACGACCGCGACTGCCTAAAACTCTACGCCTAACCTCAGCATTGTTCGTCCGGTAATTCCACCAAACTCGTTCAATGCAACGTGCACAGCGGTAATGGAACACCGACAATCTATTTTTATCCTGTTCCCGTAGTTGCCTGGTCTCTGCATCGTAAAACAGAACTGGCAGAGCTTCTGCAGCATATACTCGACCCTTCACAGACAACCAGATGTCCCGACGACGCCACATATATCTCAGGTTGGCAAATGACAACTGAGCGTTTTGTATACGCGCCGACATTCCATCTACGATGCGTCCGCCAGACGAGATATACCTGCCCAGAGAGCAAAACTTGTCTATTAACTCTACTACTTCCTCAATCAGGGTGAGGTTGAGGGCTGGATCAACCCAGTCTTGTAGCAATATTTTACACTTTGAAGACGCAAAACGCATGCCGAACATAACTACACTAGCACTCAAACTATCCAGAAAAGCTTGCAACTTACCTGGATCGTCACTTAGTAGCACAATGTCGTCTGCATAATCTAGATCAGACAGTTTCCCATATGGGAGTAAATGGATACCGCTATTTTCAAAGGAGGAAGGGGCTGTTTCAAGAATTAAATCTATGACAAAGTTAAATAGAAACGGAGAGAGAGGGCAACCTTGTCGAGCACCACTTTCCGTGGTGAACTCGGGTGAAAAANTAGAGCGATTGAAATAAACTTCTCGGGCAAACCCTTTAGAGCGAGGCAGCGCCAGAGTTTAGAGCGGTCGACTGAGTTGGAAGCCGCTTTTAGAGCGAGGAAGATAGAAATGGTGGGTCTTAGAAAGGAATATCTGTGTTCTAGAGTTTGACGAAGTGTGAAGATGTGGTCAATACAGCTTCGACCAGGTCTGGAACCGGCCTGGTTCTCGCGCGTACACGAAACACACGGATCAATGAGCAAAGACAATTGAAAATCCAAACCCTAAATCTTCACATGGCAGGCGGGCTGCGAAAGCTTTCATAGAGCTGCTTTGGTCAAGTTCTCTCGTGGGATCAATGCAACATAGCCCTATGAGCCAGACTTTTGAGTCGAAAGATTTTATTGGGATTTCCGAAGAAAAACTGGAAAATCCCAGCCGCTTGGGGTCGTCAGAGTTACAGGTTCCCGTCCCGGTTCCCAAAGAAAAACCTATTCTTCAGTGTGGGGGACTGCGAAATATGTTATGTCTTAAAGTAGCAGTTATTCATTTGGGAAAAATTCCCCTTCAACTGTCCTGATTTCACAAGTTGCGGTTCGAAAAAGCGTCTGCACTACATAATGCGATTAAATGTTGAATCCATCGTGTAAATGAGGCGTGAGCTGAGAATCTAGGAAGCACTGGACAGCTGTCATGACGTGATTGGGTCCCATCAGTAGTGCGAACCCACCGACCTAACCCGGGACGTCGCAGGTAGAACGCAAGTATACTATTCACTCGGCCACCGGGTAGTTGATCAAACAATTTCTCATTTGAAATATACACGATATAGCATAACAGTCAGGTTGTGAAAGTTTCCAATAGAGTCATAATCCTGGAGGCCAGTGCTGAGATGAGTGAGATCCGTTGCCCACAACAAGCTCGAAAGAAGGGTTGTGCTATATCGTGTTTGTTCCAAATGAGAAATGGTCTGATTGGCTGCCCGGTGGCCAAGTGGATATTACGCTTGCGAGCTGTCTCTGAGGTTCCGGGTTCGATCCCCAGTTGGGTCGATGGATTCGCACAGCACTGATGAGACCTGACCAGGTCCAGACAGCTGTCCGGTGCTTCCCAGCATTTGAGGTCCACGCGTTGTCTGCTATGAACAAGGAATTCATTATTTAATGAAAGTAAATCCTTCATTTCTCTCATTTGTACGATTAATCCAATTCGTTTAGTTGAAGCGTTTCCGTAAGTATGAATGCGAAAGAAGGACCTCTTTTAAAGTAAGCAGGAGAAAATAAACCCACCGGCAGAACTGTCCATCGTTTAGCTGCGCACATACGAATCTTCAAGTACTTAGCTCTAATACGAAACGATGACCAGAAAGCCACTGCTGTCGGCTCGCAGCCATCCTGCGTTAATGAACAGTCAAGAAAGGCTTCAGCTCTACAATTCGGTACAAAAACCATCCTGCTTTGACCAACAAAACGG